CACCTAAGTCAGCAACGAAGGCAAGTTTGGAGAGAATGGAGAAATTGTTGAGTGAAAACACTGAACGGTCTAACAGAATAGAAGCAAGGTTAGATCAATTGACTACTGCTCATAGAACCTTGGAGTTGCAGGTGAGTCAAATGGCCTCCGCCATGAATACTCGTGGGCAAGGTCAACTGCCAAGTAAGTCTGAAATCAACCCTCGTGAAAATTGTAGTGTTATCATGTTGAGAAGTGGGAAGCAGTTGGGTGACAAGGAGGAACCAAAGACCACTGAAGTGAATGAGACCAGTGATGAGAAGAAAGAAGAGAGTAAAGAGAGTGATGAAAAAAAAGTGGAGAAAGTGGAACAAGAGGAAGAAAAGATATATGTGCCACCACCGCTTAAACCTTATGTTCCACCAGTGCCTTTTCCGCAGAGACTCCATTTGACCAAGCGAGATAGGTTGTTTGATAAATTTCTGAAAATTTTTAGGCAATTACATATTAACATTCCTTTTGCAGATGCTTTAGCTCAGATTCCAGCTTATGGAAAGTTCTTGAAGGAGATCATCTCCAATCGAAGAAAAGTGAAAGACTTTGAGACAATTGCATTATCTGAGGAGTGTAGTGCGGTTATTCAGAGAAAGTTGCCTCCAAAATTGAGTGAACCAGGGAGTTTCTCTATTCCTATCTCTATGGGTGATGTTTGTTTTGATAAAGCTTTATGTGATTTAGGTGCTAGTGTTTCATTGATGCCTTTATCTATTTGTAGTAAGCTTGGGTTGAAACATTTAAAACCAACTAACATCACTTTGCAGTTAGCTGATAGATCCATAACTCATCCGAAAGGAATTTTGGAAAATGTGCTGGAAAAAGTGAAGAAATTTTATATCCCTGTTGATTTTGTTGTGTTAGATATGGAAGAAGATGCTAATGTGCCAATTATTTTAGGTCGACCATTTCTAGCCACAGCTGGTGCTGTTATAGATGTTAAAAAGGGGAGTTTAAAATTTCATATTGGAGAAGAATCTGTGGAGTTCACTTTTTCTTAAAATTACTCATCATGTGTTTAGAGTAGATTCTGTTAAGGAGCCAGATAAAAATGATGTGTTTATTGCTAATTTTAATGACCCTCCTGACAAGTGTATCATTGATGTAGGTGCAGTTGGAGACGAAAGAAGAATGATGTATCAAAGGGGTTCTCACTCTTTGATTGAGCGTTCACCTGAGATATCAGCCATATAGTCCGGCTCATGACTTTAAAGAAGCGCTTATCGGGAGGCAACCCAATTCTTTATTTTGCTTTATTTTTCTTTTTCTTTCATTAATAAGTTGATGGTTAAGTTTTTTGTTCCTGATTATCTGGAGATCTTTGATTATTGGATTTTCGTGGTTTTTCTTAATCATCTGTTTTTAGGTTTGTTTTTCTAATTTATTTTAGTTTGCAATTAGGTTTGTTGGAAGGGCGCGACTCTGGTGTCCAGTGGTGCTCGAAATGAAACATCCAAAATTCTGAAGAAGTCGGTCGTGTGCTTGAATGGCAGTTGCAACAATTTATTCAACAATTCCGGTCCTCCGCTTCACATTCCAAGGTTGTGTCATTTCTTTTCATTTTTTTATTTGTCTTTTCTTTTCTTTTCACTTGGTTGTCTTCTCTTTTGTGTTTTATACATTGAGGGCAATGTATACTTTAAGTGTGGGGGAGAGGAATTTGTGTTTTGTGTTATGTGTGTTTTATGTTTATTTTCATAAAAATTGAAAATTGAAAAATCCAAAAAGGCCTATGATGAAGTTGGTTTGATTATCTATAATATGTAAGAATTAGACTATTTTGAATTGTATTGCTTAACTTATGTATTTCTGTATGTTGCTTTGAATACCCTGTTTCTTTTGCACTTAGTCGTGACTGTGGGGTAAGCCTAAAGTGAGAAATAGTTGCATAAGTTTGATGTAGATATGCCATGAAAGTTGTTTGATTCACTCATACTTATATGATTTGTATGTGGAACCCATCATGTTGTGAAGGAAAAACAAGGCATTAACCCAATATCAGCCTTAAAAAAAAACCTTATTGCTTTGACACTTTGTGTTAAGTAAGTTTGGGGGAGGGGTGTTGGCGGATGCTTCTAAGGTTAGGTTAAATTTTAATGAGGGAGAAAGGAAGAGTATTCAATATTGATGCTAGCCTCATTGAGAGGTGAGGAATTGGCAACCTGAGCTGAGAGTCCTTAGGCCCGGTGAGGAAAAATAGATGTATAGACTGCCCTAAGTTGCTGAGCCACTATATATAGGAGTGAAAAAATGCTCTAGGTAGTGGCCTGAGTTGGAAAGAGTCCTGAAGAAAAGCCGCATGGACCGAAGAATGGGTTACGAGGAGGAATAGGTTGTCTGTGAGATAAGTCCTTCTACTTCATAGCATGTCTGGTGGTCCATTGCATTGAAATATGGTATGAAATGTGAATCTGTGTTAAAGTGTTAATATATGGCATATTTACAGTAGAGCTTTTGTTTTTTATGTTAAATGTAAAGTGATGTCCCTAAAAAACGAATCGCACACACACACAAGCGTGGGGGCTAAAAGTAACTATGGTTTGCATTGTTAGGTAGTCCATACTAGAGGTAGTCGAAATCTTTGTGTTATATGATGTGATTGAATCTCTGAGGCCCGCCAAATTAAATAATTAAATGTTTTTGTTTATTTAATGTTTGGGATTGCTTGAGGACAAGCAATAATTCAAGTTTGGGGGTATTTGATATGCTTATATTTTACCTATTTATTATATCCATAATTTGTGATTTTTGCGATATATGTTGAGTACAAATATGCTATTTATGTGATTTTATCTGTAATTGTAGGAATTGTACTCACATGAAGAATTATTGAAGTTTTGAGCTAAAATCGAATTAAAAGCAACTCAATGGGAAAGAATTGAAGATTGAAGCAATTGATGGGGAAGAAATTAATGAGTTTAAAAAATTGGAGGGCCAATGATGCAATTTTGGAATGTTTAATTTTTGGAAAATTAGCCGAAGGTTATGATGGTGCGGCTGATTTCGGATTGGAATTGGATAAGAATTTTAATCCCGATATTATTTGAAAAACAAGTTTTCTTGCTCTTCAAGAAGTAGGGTTTAGCCGGAAGCCTATAAAAGGACGATTAGGGATTTATTTTTACAACAGAACTGAACCGAAAACTGGCCGAAAACCTTACGGCTGCAAAACACTCCCCCCGCCATCACCTTCTTGTTTCCTTGTTCACCGCCGCCGGCCGCCACCAAACTCCCTCCTCCTTCACCACGCAGCCATCATCCTTGACGCAGCACCACCTTCACATCAAAACCAGCCCCACGCCGACCGCCACCCTGCTACGCCTTCTCCGCCTTCCTGGTCACGCCGCACCATCGAAGCCATCATCGCCATCTTCTCTGCCTCTTCACCGCCGAGACCGCACCCACGAAGCAGCCAGCAGCACCATCATCTTCCTCCTCCACGTAGCCACCGAAGCCTCCAACACCAGCTCATCATCATCTTCCTTGCCTTCGCACACGCAGCGGCAGCATCATTGTTCACAGGCGAAGTAATTGGCCACTATTTGCATGTCTGAAGATATTAATCGAAGTAGCGAGAGTGGAAGATTAGTATTAGTTCGTAGGAATAATAAACTTAGGTTGTAAGCTACGAGAGTAAGATTATAACCTTTGCAATATTTGATTCTTAATGGTCTTAATGCGCTTTTGTTAATCCCTATAGTCACGAGAGTAGTCATAGGATTAATCTAAGTAAGAGAATTATAGCGCGAGAGTGTATAGTTCTTAATTAGGTGAATCGTTGTGAGATTAATGGAAGTTAAAAGTCAGATATTTGTGAATTGAATTAAACTAAATATTCGGTAGGTGAACCCAATGTCCTAGGTTTTCTTTGTCTGATTATTCGAATTAATATTATTTTCTTTTATTTTATTTATTTATTTATTTTAGTTTTAAATTTTATAAATCTAAGATCATCATTTATCTAGATAATAATAGGATTAATTTATACATGGTAATTAGTATTCCTTCTCTGTGGGATCGACCCTGCTTGCTACTTTACTACTAGTAATTGTATTAAGTAGGTAATTATTATTTGACTAGTGTGACGACGGCTTGTCAATTAGCTCCAATGATGTAGTTGGTGTAATGTCTTATGCAACTTGAATGATAAACCTTGACGTGAATCCTCAAAAACCAGTGGTGGTTGTGACCAGGATTGATTTACCAGCTCTTTCGAAGATTTACATCGTGACCAAAATTGTTCAAACCTAGGGCCTTTTTAGGTAACTTTTTTTGTTTAAGGTCAACAAAAATTGGTCCATGATCTGAGCTCATTATTGGTAAATTTCTGATAACCGCCTTCTTGAACGTGTCCAGCCAAACGCGATTCACAAAAGCATGATCTAACCTTTCAAATATCACCGCTTGACCTTGACGTTTATTGGTCCATGTGTACCAGCAACCAAGATGCTTCAATTCTTCAAGATCATTAGCTTCCAGTAAATTACGAATAGGCCTAGTATCTTGGGATCGAACTTATCTACCACTGTACTTGTCCTCCCGGTCTAAAACCTGATTAAAATCTCCTAATATAATACTAGGATAGCTAAAACCTTGAATAATGCCATTCAACTGTGACCAAAATTCAGTCCTATCCTGAAAGGAAGGAGGACCGTACAGAAAGATGGCCATCCACTCAAGGCCTGATAGTTCAAGAATCTTAGCTACTAGCACAATTGAACTTTTATAAAGGAGACTAAGATTAACAATACTATTCCAAAAGAGGGCTAGACCCCCACTAAGGCCAACAGGATCAACTACTACAGAATTTACAAAAGAAGTAGATTGTTGCCATGTCAAAATATGGTCCTTGCTGGCCTTAGTCACCATAATAAACAAAATACTAGGATTATAGTTTCTTAATAGTCTACTTAATACATGCTTAGGCGAGGCATTATTCATGCCTCAGATGTTCCAGGAGAGTATATTCATAAAAGCAGAGGCGGTTGATCTGGTTCAACCACTGCAAAACCATTCAGCTGGTTACCTTCCACCATAACCATGAGTGGAGACTGGAGTCCTTCACCTTGCACCTGCATGTGGTCTTCCTTTGCCGATATCCCAATAGTCATCAAGCTTCTTTGCTGCTGGGCGCTAATACCAACTTTAGGCTGGAACTCCATCAATTCAACCTCAGGTAATGTCCATGCATACCCCAGAGCCTGGAACAAATCTTCCACTTCTTTTCCAGCAGCCTTGCAGGCTCTTTTCTTGTCAGATCGCTGCTTGTCCCCATTAGAATCATCAGAACATCTCTTTCTGCTTTTAGAAGAAGTATCAGAAGTAGCAGAGGAATGATAAGAGTCAGAGTCATGATCAAAATCCTCATCGTCAATGCGCATCCGCCATCCAAAGTGCAAGCTGGGGGTAGGAGTCATCACTTCTGAAAGCTTAGCAGGCTAAATGAGGTCTGCCTCTGATACTGCTCTTCTGGCACACATAAAATGGGCATCTTCATCACTATCAGACGGCGCTGAATCAATATGCAGTTGTGATGGGGCAGAATCTGATGAGTATTGCTTACGGGGCCCAGATTTTTTAGCAATATTTCTTCCTGCTTTGGAGACTGAAATATCAAAGCGTCTCACGGGACTAGATTTTACAGAACTTGCAGAGGAATCAGAGGCAGAACCTACAGTAACCCTAGACCTGGTTGCGACTCTAGCATGTCTACAGGAACTCCTACTCTCTGATTCACTAGCATCAGTACTAGAATTCAAACTATACAAGACAGAGATTGGTGAAACAGTTGGCATTGGGGGTAATTAGGTACATTTGGGATAAATAAATCAGGGACATAAGATTGATCCGCTAACATGTCCTCAGAAGGAGGCACATCCAGAATGGCATAAACAGAGACAGGCATATTCAAATCACTTGCATCATCAGGAAAATAAGATTCAGTGTTATGAGTAAATTCAGAGGATTGTGAGGAGAATGAGTGAAAGCTGTCACCTGGACCAACCGAATACACAGAATCAGTGTCCTCTCCCGCAGTAGGTACAACCATTCTGGTGTAATCCACTTCCACATCCGCATAAAGATTGAGTCTGCCATCCACGTGGATTGGAGGACCATCACCATCATAGAAGTTGTCAGCATTAAGATCAGCCATGAAGTGGTCTCCATCCATATTTCCACCTCCATTTCCATGATTATCATCAGAATCAGAGTCCTCTTGATCATCATCACCAGGTTTAGAATTATGGCCATCTTCGTCTGGATTACTGTCATCTGGATTGTGCAGGGACCATGGATGCCAGGGAACCGGGCCATCCTCTTCGAACTCCGAGATTTGAAAGCCATCTTGAATATATTCATCTGACACAGAGTCATAAAAAGTTGGAGCCTTGTAGAGACCTGGCCGTAATAGAATTTTTAGCCATTGCATGTCTGTATTCCATTGTAAAAGAATAGAATCCAACCCCAAAAATTGAATAAACAATGGAATGACTATAGAATCTAGTGAAGAAAGGACAAGGAAATGCAGATCTAAGGTTGGAAAGGAATAAAGACAACAGTTGGAGTCACTGGAAAAAACAGAGAATGTTGGAAACAATATTTATGAAATGAAGACAAAAGGACGATATGCTATTAAACAGAAAAGGAGTAGGAAGTTCCAAAGAAGTGCAAAAAGGAAAAGGAATAAAATTGAAAAGGCAGAAACCTTTATGACTTCAGCCTAGGAAATCTAAGATGCATCTGGGAGGCCGAAAGAGTTGGGAGGCTCAAGAAAAGGAAACAAGCAATTTTGATAACTACAATTGCTTATAATGAGAAAGATCTACACCCAGAGAAGATGAGTGCACCATACATGCGGATGTATGAGTGTATCAGAAGAAATGAAAATGACTTATGGATTTGCATGGCTGCCAAATGGCATAAAAATGCAAATCCGGGAAAACTTCTGATGGAGTAAAACCTTGTGCTGAAGCAAAAGTGGTTTTGGGACAACTGTATGAGTGAGTAAAAAGAAGAAAAAGATAAGCAATTTGGATAGATAAAGGATAAAATTTTTTATAGTTAGTGGAGGTTCAAGAAATTAGATTGATGATTAGAAAATTTTTGTAGTGGTGACGTCAAGGTGTTTTTCTCTTGTTGGGAGAATAAACATGACATTCCCTCTCTAAAATTTTAAGAGAGAAGGACGACTACGATGATGATGCGAAGTGGCCATTACTTGAATAATGAAGATGACTTCTTTTATGATTCAATAGTCAAAGGTTACTACAATAACCATATGAAGACAGTTCTCACCAGAGTCAACTCCTTCACTGGGATTGCGTACAAGGATGAACCAGCCATATTTTCATGGGAGCTCATGAATGAACCTCAATGCCAATCTGATCTTTCTGGAAAATCTATTAAGGTAATAATCATAAATGCTTGAATTACAATCTCAGCGTCCCAATTTAATAGTCCAAAACAATTAAATCAATATCCCTTTTTAGAGTTGGGTCTCTGAAATGGCAGCTTATGTCATGTCCATCGATAGAAATCATCTCCTGGAGGTTGGGTTGGAAGGATATTATGGCAAATCGACGCCGGAGAAACAAGTTGTGAATCTTAGTTACGAAGTTGGAACTGGCTTCATTGCCAATAACAGTATGTTAGCATCCCACATGTTGATTTTACCACCATTCATATCTTTCCCAATCAATGGTAACAACATTTTGGGACAAACAGGGCAAATCATGTTGGGACGGATGGACTGATTTACCAAATTTAAATGATTGATGTGACGAGTCCATATCCAACCCCGGTGTTGGATCGGTCCAAGAACCGTGTGATGGGCCCGACGCCAAAAGGGCGGCAATGTGACTAAATCCTAGTAGGATTCGGTTCTATGATCATATTTTCCTGCCTATAAACAGAGATGTAAGTTCCACAATTAAGATACGCTATTTTGGTTATCAATCAATATACGCACATAACGCTACTTTTTGACTTAAGGTTCGCAGTGTCTACCCTCGAGAGACGCATGAGGTTCTGTTTTGCAGGAAATCCTAACCGGAGTTCCACCCTAAAGCTGCGGTACAATTCCAGGTATCGTCACGATGATTGCAGGATAAACTCAGATGAGACGACTGAAGCTCTGTTTGGGGAAAGATGGATCAAATCTCATATGGAGGATTCCGCATCTGTGCTAGGAAAGCTGCTCATGCTAACTGAATTCGGCAAATCGTCACGATCACCAGGGTACCAAGTTGCCGTAAGTGATGCATACTTCTCGAATATATATGATACCCTTTATTCTTCTTGCGCGAGTTCCTCAGATGGCGTATGCGGAGCCGGAGGAGCTTGCTTTTGGCAGGTAATGGCTCCAGGAATGGAAGATTGGGGCGACGGATATGAAGTTTTCTTAGAACAAAGCCCTTCCACCATGGCCGTCGTCGTCAAACAATCCCGCAGACTCTCTCTCTGAGCTAAATCTTTGAGAAAATTAAAAGTTAAAACCATCTATGGTTTCCTTTCCTAGCTAAAATCCATTAAGAATGCAAAGGCACAACCTCTGCACCACAGTTATTTGAGTTGAAGCGTGAAATTGCACTTATTAAGCAAGGAGATACTTTTGATCTCTAATTACTATGTTAGTTTCAACTTTCAACTTGGCAATCCCAATATCTCGATAGTACCAACCTAATGTGATAGAGATTCCAAATCTTAAATACGGTATGGGTCCATTTTTTTTGAAATGGTCTATGGGTCCATGAGTCCAACTGGGATAATTTTTTATACTGCTAATTTGTTTACAAAGAGTCAGCAATCTGCAATCTGCATTTGCCCTGCATTGCGGTCAACATGACAGGTATCAATTCCAACAAACACTTCCCAGATTATTATGTATAGTGTTTTATCTGTCCTAAAATAAGAATCATCACACATTTTGGAACGGAGGGAGCAATTTATTATGAGACAGAGGAGGGCGGGAGGCAGAGGAGGGCAGAGGACACTGTTTAGAATAAAATCAATTAAATAGTAATATTGGTTCATCTGATCATCAGTTCTTACAATCCTAGCTGAGCCCTACTGTTCCAAAATAATACCAAATTGTTGTATTTGTGAATTAAAAGGCCATTTTTTTACGTCACCAGTTAAGTTTGTAGATAGAAGGAAGAAACAAAAGAAAAGAAAATTATGATTCGCAGCTTCAAGTGGGTACGAACTTTGTATTGTTTAATCCTAGATGTCAGCATTGTACAGCTGCTATTATGGAGTATTTTATTATGTATGACAGAATGGTCATTGAAGTCTGCATTCCCCAAAGTAATCCAAATCTTTGTGTAGTTTGTTTTGGTTCAATCTGATCTGGTTTCTATTTGCTCACCTTCTTCCCAATTTTTGTTTTCCTTTGATCATCATCTTAGACATTTTCTTATACCCTTTTCAGAGCTCTATTCAATCTTTCTGTATCTGTTGAAATCATCTTGTTCTTTTAAATCCCTTTGCGATTGTTGAGATGAATCAGGTCCATTGAAAACATTTCCCAACAAATACAAAAGATGGCCTCCACACTCATTGCTGGTATACGTTCTGCCTTACATCATGTTGATCTGCTGGTGGAGACGAATCGCAGTAACACTGATGATTTCATTGCGTTTAAGTTCTTTAGATTTTTTCTAAGGAATCTTAAAATGTATCTTCTTTCTGCTGGAAAGTTGGGCAAAGATGCAAGTCCAGGTTCTTCCTTTGTAAAGATTGAAGGTATTGCTCAGAGATTTGCAGAGTTCATTCACAGTATTCCTGTTGGCTTGGATGGCCAAACTTTATCTCATATTTCCACTGAAAATCTCAAGGAAGATCTTGATTATTTCTCGGGACAAGCAAATGAAATGTATGTCAATCTCATGGAATTGAAAACCACACAGCAATCAAGTTCTTTCACAGTAGATGAAGTCCTGGAGATCATGAGCTCCTCGGCAGAAAATCTGGTGGAATTTCATACTATGGGGAGATCACGTAAATCTCTAGTAGATGCAGTGAAAGCCTTGGTAAAGCAGATGACTTTCTTGAAAAACCTTCTACTCTTTACCACACAAAGTAAGATTGAACCCACAGAAGGTTTGTTGGCTCATGCTGAAGTTGTTGCTATCAATGCTGCATATCTGCTGTCATTGACTCTCGATGCAAAAAGGGTGATTCAGTTTTCAACTTTGGCGGAAAAAATCAAGCCCATTGACCCTCAGGTTTGCAAGACTTACACTGATGCATTGTGTAGCTCAAAGTTGGAGAAAATATTACTTGCTCCCGCTGATCAGGACGCGGATGTTGAAAGTTGTCTTCTAGCAGCAAACAATCTCCTTTCTTCTCTTGTATCTGTTGTTTGGGAGGCGCCATCATCGAGTACTCGTGTGGTGGTTCCTATGAAGGATCAACTGCAGGAGCTATATGAAGGACTCGGATTCTTGAGCAAAGCAATTCTCAAGCAGCTGCAGCAGCCTAACAAATTTGATCCAAAAATTAAGGAACAGATTGGAGCTGTGGTATGTGGTGCCGGAATCTTGATTTTCTCATTCCACCAAACAAATGTTCAGTTAGACCTTGGGTTACTCCATGATTTGTTGGAGGCAATCAAGATTCTTCTAGCAGAACTTGGGAGAAATGATCCACAGGTATCAAAGTTCACCTTCCACAGCACAACTCAGCTGACCTTTGTTGACTTTGTATTAGAAAGATTAATGGAGTTGACAAGTAGGGATGGTAAACAAACTGCTAATAGTTGGGTTCAAACAATCCAAGAAGAACTTGTCTCCTTAAGATCTTTCTTGGGGGACACTGTCGAGTTGCGCCATCAGCAAAAAGAACTCCAAGCTATCTGGGATCGCATTTTGGAGGTGACATACAAACTGGAAGACGTCGTTGACAATCTAATGGTTGGTGATCTTCAAGACGTTCTTTCAGCTTCATTTGAATCGATCAAGAAAGACATCAGTGATATTAAGTTGGAAATTGAAGTTGAGAGACCAAAAATTGAATTCAAGAGACAAGAAAATGAAGTGAAGGAAGTACCCATGACTCGCAATCAGGTGGAATCAATAACTCTCTCAATGACAAAGGAAGTTGTAGGCTTCCATGATGAGGCTAACTCGATTATCAATCGACTCAAGAGGGGATCAAAGAAGTTACGAATTGTGCCTATTGTGGGAATGCCCGGACTTGGCAAGACCACTTTGGCTGAAAAAGTTTACAATGATCCTTCAGTCTTGTGCCACTTCTCTGTTCGTGCTTTCACAACTGTTTCACAAACAGTTGACAAAAAAAGAGTGCTTCTTGACCTCCTAAGACAAGTTGCTCCTGACAAATATTCTAAGATTACATCTGAGGCAAATGCTGATGATGTAGCAGAACAGCTAAGGCGCAGTTTAAAAGGGCGTCCGTATCTCATTGTTTTGGATGATGTATGGGAAGGTAAGGCATGGGAGAGTTTGCAGCAATCATTCCCTGATGATTCTGTGGGGAGTAGAATTATTTTGACTAGTCGTCGTCATGATGTTGCTGATGCGCCTCATGAACTTAGACAGCTCAACAAGGAAGAAAGCATGGATTTATTGAAAAGGCACTTATTCAGCGGAAATGGTTGGCCCATTGAATTACATGATCTCGGAATGAAAATTGCCGAAATCTGCAACGGATTACCTCTCACAGTTATCATTGTAGCTGGAGTTCTAAAATCCAAACAGCCGCAGGAGTGGAAGAAAATTCTAGACAAATTAAGCTTAGGAGATTTATCAGAACGCTGCAGGGACACACTAGAGCTGAGTTACACAAATCTTCCAGAGCATTTAAAGCCGTGCCTTCTCTATCTTGCATCATTTCAAGAAGATCAGCAGATATCAGTCAGGAGATTGCTTCAGTTGTGGATGGCAGAAGGATTTGTTCGGAAATCTGGGATGAAACGCCTATCAGATGTTGCCGAAGAGTACCTTAAAGACCTAATCGGTAGAAGTTTGCTTATTGTTGAGAAACAAAAATCGAATGGTGGAGTGAGAGCATGCCGTATTCATGATTTGCTCCATGAGTTCTGCTTGCAGAAAGCCAAAGATGAACAATTTTTCCATTTCCTAGAAGGACGGCATGAGGAGCTTTCCACATTTAGTGTGCCACGCTACCGACGTAAATTGTGTATTGACTCTAGCACAGAGCATTTCATAGAATGGAAGGTATATTGTTCTCATATTCGTTCTCTGCGTTTCAAGAAGTTTGAATCTGAAGAAACAGTAATGCGAAATCTCTTGTTCTTGATGCATATCAGCAAACTTCTAAGAGTGTTGGATTTGGAGCAAATTTGTTTAGATAATATGATTCCAGATGAAATAGGACTGCTTGTACACTTGGCTTACCTTGGGATCAGAGGTAATATTTCGGACATCCCACCATCGATTGGTAGCCTCTCAAACTTGGAAACTTTTATTTTGAATACTGATCAGCAAAGGGAAGTTTCATTACCAGACACTTTCTGGAATCTACAGAAGTTACAGCATTTTTACATGACAAGCAAACGTCAGTCTTGGGCTATCTTGCCCATGAAAAATCTTGACAGCTCACCTGATTTATATGAGTTGGATAGGATGTCTGGTGTTATTATTCCCTGTGATGGTAGCATCAAAGGGATAATGAGAAAGTTTCCAAACATTCGTAAGTTGTCATGCAGACTTCGTAAATTTGATATCCAAGGTAGAAATCTGGTCGAGACTGTAGTTCTTGACTTTCTGCATAAACTTGAATCACTTCATATCATAGTATTTAACTATGATCTGCCTAGAGGCGTTAAGTTTGAGTTTTGTTTGCCAGAAAATCTTAAGAAACTGACACTGTCACACTTTCGCTTGGACGGGAGGAGTCTTTCAAGCATTGGCAAACTCAAAAACCTTGAAGTCCTCAAGTTAGACTTTGTAACGTTTGAAGGAAATACATGGACCTTGGAAGAAGAGGAAGAATTCTCTAGACTTAGAATCCTGAAATTGTATTTCCTTAACCTTCGGTCGTGGAGTGCATCTGGTGATCTATTTGGGTGTCTTGAGAAATTAGAATTGTATCATTGCTCAGAACTGGAGGAGGTGCCTTCTTGTCTAGAAAACATTTTGACTCTTAAAATGATTGAGGTCAATGCTTGTCGTAAAACTGTAGTTGAGTTGGTGAAGAATATTGCTGCAGTACAAGTAGAATTGGGAAATACTGAGATGAAGATCATTATCCGAGAACCACGTAATTGATTTTTCTGCACCACACCTTCTGCTGGAATAGGAAGAAGTCACAATGGTGATTCCATTTCACTACTGCAATTCTTTCTGCGAGCCAAACATAGAGTAACTTTTTCCCCCATTGTTTGGAGCCATTAAATGAATATGACTTGTTATGTATGGTTGCCATTGACCTGATGTTGTTACTGTTTTCAACTTTGAAAGCTTTTTGTAGTACTTGAATCTATTTCATGGTTGATATTTCATTGATGTTCTTTTTCTTGAAGTTCTTTTCCTTGATGTTGGTATTAGAATTTGTATATGAGAATGTTAAAAAGCATTTCGGATTGATTGGAAATATCTTGTTACAGACTTACAGTAGGAAAGAATTAATCAAACATTGCATGTGAAGGATTTTATGTTGTCAAATCCATTCCTAACCGTGCGGAATCTATCTTTTTGTTTTCCTGGAAGATATGAGGTTCTCTACTCTTTCAGAACAGAAAAACTTACATGTCGTTTTATGTTTTATTTTACCTTTCAGTCAATAATAAAGTAGGTAGCAAAAGTTTGTTGAGCCTGTGTTGTTGGCGCATTTATCCAGCTTTTACCATCAGCTGATTCGAAATGTTATGATATTCTGAATTTTTGGATTTCAGACGTGATCTAGTAGATATTTGGCCTACTGGTGTACAACACAGAGAGAATTCGGTGTCCTTCCTCTTCTTCTGTGATTTTTCACATCGGCAGGCTAAGAAATCTCTGCACCTTAGAACTCGGTTATTGGTCTGTTTTAGTTACCTCCTGCAGAGTACAATGCGTCTTATGATTAGCTCTTGGACTCTATAATGGCAACTTGATTGGTTTTGATGAGTGTCATTTTAGCGGCTTACTAGTTCTCTTCCACAAGTGAATAGAAGTTTCAGTTAAATTGTTGAGGGATTTAGCAACCAGCCATAGCCCCATGACAGATTGTTGGATTTTACCTTCCCTGGTGCATCATTCTCTCCCAAAGTGGTTCTACCACTCTTTCACATTGAGTAAAAGAGGTAAGCCATATTTGTTTTTGCCAAACTAAATAGTACAGTAGTATTTCTACTGTTTTGTTTACTCTGAAGAAGAAAAAGTATAACAAACCTACAAATGCTCCAATTTTTTTGTTTGGAATGATGATTAATGAAACAAATTAACAGAGTGAATCAAACTAAGAGGAATTAAATGAACAAAACGCGACACAAACACCATTGGGCACTCTCACATGGAGAGAACTGAAATGGGAGTATTCAGAAGAGAGCAAGCATGATGAGAAGAACTTGTGTGTCTTCCTTCACTTTCTCAATTCTTAATGCCATTTGTTAGTCCAGAAAATCATATTGCCTGCGGGCATTAAGCTCAAAGGATGGAAAGCGGAACATGCAGTCCCAGGATGAACCTCAAGAACTAAAACAACAAATTATGATTACATACTATAGATTAATCTTGCATTATGCAATTAGGAATGCGCAAAAAAGGGAACCAACCTAGCTAAACCAGACCGCATGTTGGTAGCTTAGGATTCGAATGTGCATTAGTCCTCAATTAAGAAATGAGTACCTGATGTCTGATGAAGCTGATAAACCAGGATGATTGGAACTGAAATATTCCTAGTACCCCACTAAGCTTCCTAGATTCAGGTGCTTTTTTTGGTGGTTCTTCATGTGGTTCTCTGTCTCTGGCTTTACTATTTCAAGTATTTCTAAACAAAGAATATGATCCTCAAAATATGGAATAAGTTCTGTGATTACTGCAACACTTTGACGTGATAAATTTACAACAATGCAGCCTAACCGCAAATCCCACACTACTGAATCATTAACCAGGAAAAAAAAAAAAAACTCATATATTTCCTTCAACATCAAGAATCCTTCGCTTCTTCTGAATATCTCAATGATTAACGCTGAAATTGAAAGTCTATCTCAGAATTCCTAGGTATACTCCTTGTCAAAGTACAATGCGCAGAATCGATTCCTGGTTTCTTTTAATCACAGATAGGCTATATGTGCAGTGTTATGATGTCTGAGAAAACAAGGAATCTACTTTCAAGTTGGTGTATATACAACTGATTCTTGAAGTTCACAATGATGCTTTGATTGGTTTTGAGCGTAACTTTAAAGTCAAAGATCATTTCTTCCTACTTTTCTAGATATGAACAGGGTTCAGTGAAACCGTTGAGGGATTTGTTAAACAGCTCTATACATAAGAGTGCTAGATTTCACATTTTCTGCTGCATCATTTTCACTCAAAGATAAGAATACTCCTACTACTAACTCCATGTTTAGTAAAAGAGGTAGACCATATTTACGAAGATACATTACCTAGCAGTATTATTTTAGTTGCTATTCTCAGGGGACGGGTGAAGAAAAGCTACTATAACAAGACTACAAACGCTCCAGTGTCAAGGGCTTATTTGGTTGACAAGGAAAAGACATCTTTAGTTGCAGATTGAACCTATAGATCAAAACAACAAAAATTCATTTACATACTATAGATGATTTTCATGCTTTATGCAATCAGGAAGAAGCAAAAATAGAAAATCAAAACCTTGCTAGACCAGACCAGCATATCACCTGGTTAACATTTGAACGTGAATCAGTTTACTTCAATGCATAAATCAGTACCAGACCAAGCTAATGAACCAAAATGATTGGAACTTAAATATTCCCTAAGCCTTACCGGCTGCTATATTGTTATTCCAAGAGGAGTCAAATGGTTTCTTTCTTTACATATCAATTTCATATGCTTTTGTTTTGCTTTTGCGTTTATTAATCGCCTCTGAAAAATCGAAGTTCTGAAAATCATTGCATTTTCCATACATGAAGTTGATTCAGTTTCTGAACCTAATCAGCGAGGATTTGACCAGAACTCAATTCCTGAACTGAAACTGACTAGTTTGGAACAAAATGATAATAAATTGGTTGTTCCTTCTTGTTCTTCTGTCTGAGTTTCTCTATGTCTGTGTCTGTTTCTTTTCAAGTCATTCAATTTCAAAGAATTCATAGAAGAAATCAGAGTGACACTATGCCCCTCACAATATGAAACAAGATCGGTATAATAACGACAAAACTTTTACATGACAAGCACATTTACAACAATGTAGCCAAACTACCAAATTAAGTCACTGAAATCTCACAATATTCCACGTATGATGCTGAAGCATCAGCTTTTATTTTACTTCTCCTATTCTCCTTTCATTCCTTCGACATCAAGAATCCATGGTCCCAACAAAACAAGCCGATCTCAATCTACACCTCCATGAGTTGAATGTTAAAATTGAAAGGATACCATGACACAAGCCGGATGTAATCCTGGGGAAAAGAAAAAACATCAGAATGGAAGGGTGCACGTCCTTTGCCTTGAGAAAACAACAGTGAAGAAAAAAAAAAAATCTGTGGTAAGACTGTATTCGAATTGGAATGCACGTCCAAGCTTTGTAGATGCACAGATGAAGAGTTAAGAACAGGTTGGAAAAAGCAAACTATAGATAAGAATGAAGGTGCCCGAATCTGCAAATTATTCCCAAAAGTCGAACTAATGGAAAAAACAGCAGAAAACGCAAAAGAACAAGATTGCTGGAAAAATATGAACATCAAGGTCTTCCTAAACTAGAAACACAATGATCAGACATACAGAGAAATGCAGAAATTTTCAAAAATCTTAATATTACACTAACAGTTCAGAACCAGAAAAGCTTTGCAAACCAACATCAGGAAAGATCACAAAGAAAGTAAAATCAAACGTAAAAATAAAAAAAAATAAAAAATTTGACACCAAATGAAAAGAATTACTACATCAATTATGTAATTATAATGTGATAAATAACTGAAGAGCTTTAATATAAATGTCAAAGGACATGCAACCTTCCAAATACAGGCAACAGTCGCAAAAAAAGAACAGTAAACGCACTCAGTAATTAGCACCTGAGACAGGCAGTAGGGGACTTAGAAATTTTCAACTTTATTGAAATCAGGCCTTAAGAGAATTGTTCCTTTTTATGAACTATCACATGAAGACCTGAATTTTCCCAATTTTCTTGTTCTTCCTTAATTTGTCCAACCAAATTTACTACAGCCTGCGAACAGTGAAAAACCTCAACTGTCTCAAGAGTTGGAATGGACTCCAGAAAAGAAGGCAGCTCTTCCAAATAATAACAGTAATGTAACAGGAGTTTCTGAAAATAGACAAATTCATCAGCACAAGATCTCCACCGCTCAAGGTTACCAGAAGACACTGTCAACATTATAAGTTTCCAGAACTCTCCTTCCTTCATTTCCCATGTTTTCCCTTCGAAGTTGATGTCCATCAGTTTGAGGACTTCCAGGTTTGGCAATTTTGCAATCCCAGAAATAGCCATTCTGGTCAAGTCAAAACCATCCAACACCAATTTTTCAAATGTTCACGAGAACAAAACTCTAATGTATTGGGCCAATGTGATTCATTATTCCGCAACAGAAGTGATTCTAGTTGACTCGAAAAGTTAAGAACACAATCTTGTCATCATCTCTTGCTTCATTCTCATTCTGGAAAATTGAAAATTTTAACTTTTGAAGATTTGAAAACTTTCTAATTAAACCAAACAACAACCAGTAATCCTTTTCTGTTCTCTTAAGTTTACCTCTGCAACAGAGAAATCTTGTCCTAGAGAACCTATGGTTTCTATATGCTAATTTTTAACTTTAACATTCTCATTACTAGAGATTGTGTCATCTCTTACCTATAAGTCATTAAAGTAGGTAGAAAAAGGTCTATTGAGCCTGAATTATTTGTCGCCTTTTCCCACCTTTTGGCAGTCTGCTATACAAAAGGCTAATCAGCCCATCCGAGCTGTTACCTTTTTCTGAATGGTGTGATCTTGTAGACATTTTGCCTAATCTCACAGAGGCTGCTAGATATTTGATTCATTATCAAGAGGTAGCTTTCTCAATTCTCAGTGGGATTCATTTTAGTCTTAGTACAACAGAAATTCATTTGTGTTTGCTCTCCTTTTTCTGTGATGTATTACGTTGATAGAGTAGGAAATTTCTGCACTCTAGAACTTAATTCTTGGTCTGTTTTAATTACGTATAGACTACAAGAGCAGTATTATGATTACCTCCTGGACTGTACAATGATAATTTCTTCTGTTTTGAGTTTCTCATTTAGCTGCTAAGATAACTAGCTAGTTCTTTTCTAGAATTAAACAGTGTTCATGGGATTTGGCAAAAAGCTCGATTGATAGAGTGCTTAACATTCATATTTGTTGTCTAAACGGGACAATCATTATGGGACAGAGAGAGTGGTATCATTACAGT